GGTGCTGACCTGCCTTGATAGAAGAAGTTTCCAAACATCTGGCTGTTCTTTAGACCAGAAGGCACTGTATCCCGTCATTAATTATATTATCATTAATAATGATGATATATTATCATCATCAATCGTCATTAATCACCATTAATAATAATAGTAGTAGTAAAATGTTGCCATACCACATACGATGGTATTCCAGCTACACGGAATGAACAGCTGTCAAAATGTAGAGACCTGGAGGAGGGGCCTAATGAACCCCGTGGTCCTCTCTGCTGCCGGAGCTGTCCCAGGGATGCTTGAGGCAAGCCTTCAGACGAGGAGCTCGCAATCCAAGCTTGTCATTCAACTACAAAAACTAGTCATTTTCTTCCCCTGCACCATCGCCTGTGGCACGCCAAACCTGACCAAGTTTAGCATGACTATCTTTCTCTGAGCTTCATTGATAAAGGTGGGAAGAAGGAGATAATAATAATACAAATTATAGCGGATGCTTCTAGGGCACCTTGAAAGACTCCGTCATCTCCGGATTGTCAGACGAAAGGACACGTATCAGATGGACAAGCTAGAGATTGCATTCACCAACAAACCATCCCGGAGAGACGCTGTAAATGGACCCCTTGGGTCCCGCGGAATAGGAGAAAGAGAAAGTGCCTCAGGGAAATGGAAAAGCTGCTTTAAACACCTCTAGTTGTCTTTTTAATGTCAACGTTCTCCCACTGTTTTTTAGAGGCCTATGGATCATGGCGCACAACACTGAAGAACCCAAAATGAGTGCCATGCAGAGGGTAACAGAGGGGCATGTGGTGGATGCACTGGGGAGGGGAGGGAAAAGGGTCACAATATACAACAAAGGACAGCAGAAAGCAGCCTCCACTTACTACCTATGCCGTCATGGGCAAATCATTTAACCACTGTGGGCCTCAGTTTCCTCAGCTGTAAAAGATCTGGACTAGATGACTTCTAAGGTCCCATCCATGGCTAGATTTGTCATCCTATAATCCTATGAATGCCATCAATCAACAAGCATTTATTAAGCACCTACTGTGTTCAAGGCACTGTCCTTGGTGCGGGGGTACAACTCCAAAGAATGCACTCGAGGAACTTACATCCTAATGGATTCCTCAGGGAAAAATCTGGTTTGCAAAGGTAATAGGTTGGTCATGTGGCAATAATGAGGCATAACTTAGTGATGTCGGGAGAAAGTGAGGAAGGCTACCACCACATTAAGTGGACTCCTTGTGGAAAACTTCACGGGAGGACATGGATGAGAGGCACGGATGGGTCAGATCCTCACCAGTGGAGGGAAAAGCCTGTCAAGGTCACAGATCCACTGGAATCATCTTAACGTAGGAGAGACAGATAGGACGAAGCTTTCACAGACTTGCTCATTGACCAGGGTCCTTAAGGCTGGATTAAGTCAGAGTCACAGAATGTCAGAGCAGGGAAGGGATTCATTTTTTTTTTTAATTTTTTTTTTTTTTTTTTTTTACTGAGGCATTTGGGGTTAAGTAATTTGCCCAGAGTCACACAGCTAGTATTATGTGTCTGAGGTCGGATTTGAACTCAGGTCCTCCTGACTCCAGAGCCAGTGCTCTATCCACTGTGCCACCTAGCTGCCCCCACGGGAAGGACTTCAAAGGTTGCCCGTCCAACCCATACTTGACTGGGGATCCTGACTATACAATCCCAAACCGTAGGTCCAGTCTCCTCTTAACGATAGACCTCTAGGGATGAGAGCCCCCTCCTTTTCAGGGCAACTCATGCCATGTTCACACAGCTCTCCTTGTCCTTGTATGGAGCCTAAACCTGCTTTCCTATGATTTCTCCCCATCATCCTCTTCCTCCTGGAGCCAAACAGAATGAGTTGAATTCCTCTCCCATGTTATAACCCTTAAAACATTGGAAGATAGTTATGATGTCTTTCCTGTGTCTTCTTTAAGCATGGCTCCACCTCTCTTCAGTTGGTCCTCCAATGGCTTGAACTCAAGGCCCTTCCCCATCCTGGCTACTTTCCTCTGGACATGCTCCAATTTGTCAATGGCCTTCCTAATAATGTGACACCCCAAACAGAAGACCATCCTCCAGAAGCTGGGTCAGAATCCTAAGTCTGGGGGCTCTACTAAGATGCCATGTTTGGTGTTTCTACCATGTCATGCCTGGCATTCCAGATCCCCAGAGTCTGGCATATGGCAGATGAGCTATACAGAAGATAATCCTCATCTGGGGTTCAGAGGAGGGAGAGATTCCCCAAGGGCTGGTGGAGTCTGGGTAGGCTTTGTATAGGTGGTCACAATTGAGCTGGGCTTTGAAGGACACACTCAGATGGCACAGAGGAGGTAGAAAGACATACCAAATGTAGGGAATGGTGAAGGGTAGGAGGAGTGGTGCACATACAGGAAACAATGAGTAGAACAATCTGGCTGACTCAGAGGGTTTATTCTTTTTTTTTTTTTTTTTTTTTTTTTTTTAGGCAATTGGGGTTAAATGACTTGCCCAGGATCACACAGCTAATAATAATAATAATAATAATAATAATAAATGTCAAGTGTTTGGTCTGAGGCCAGATTTGAACTCAGGTCCTCCTGATTTCAGGGTCAGCGCTCTATCCACTGCACCACCTAGCTGCCCCTCAGAGGGTTTATTCTATAAAGGAGGAGGAGTGGGAGATGACCTTGAAAAAACAGATAGATGCCTCAATAGCTCAGCTAAGGAATTTGGATTTGACTCAGTGTTTGATCCACGGGCTCCAACCCTCTCTGCTCAGAGTGAATGTAAATAGTAATTGTTTCTCTTTTGGCCAGCAACCCTGAGGGTCTTCCCCTCCCCGTTTGATTTTTTTAATATTAAAGGGACCATCCCTTGACTCATTTCTTAATGGGCATTGCTTCACTCAAAGTGAGAACCTGAAAAGACCTTAGCTTAAAAGGGCCAGGGTCTCCCACTGCATCCTGGACCATCTCCAGTCATCCTGATTGATATCTGGCCACTGGACCCAGAGGGCTCTGGAGGAGAAAGTGAGGCTGGTGACCTTGCACAGCACCGCCCCCCCCCACTCAAATCAAAGTCAATGGCAAGTCACGTCATCACCTCCTTGATGTCATGGTCCTCTTCCAGAACAAAGGACAAACACAACCTACCGCAAGAACCAGCACTTTTCTGGACAGAGTTGTGAGAGGCTGATCTCTCACCCTTGGGCACACCAACTTGTCTGAGTAAGGTGCAGTGTGGTCCAATAGAAAGGGCTGTGGATTTGGAGCCAGACGACCTAGGGTCAAAGCCTGCCCCTGCCATCGGTATCTTTGGACAATCATTTCATCACCCCAGACCTCAGTTTCTTCATTTGTAAAATGAGGGAGTTGGACTCAAGTCCCTTTCACTCAAAGTGAATGATTCTGGCAGGCCAGGGCTCTCCTCGGAGTTCTCCAATCAGAGCCATCAGCAGCCAAAGCTGTAACTAGGGTAGGATGACTGGGGACTCTGCCCCATAGTGCTGACATAGGAGGGGGCTGTACATACCTGCCTTCCTGTGTAATCCCTTAGCCTGATCTCCGAAATACACTCTCTCTCTCTCTCTCTCTCTCTCTCTCTCTCTCTCTCTCTCTCTCACACACACACACACACACACACACACACACACACACACACACACAGAGCCTGCCTGGGCAGAGCTCTCTGAGCAGGATGGCAGCTATGTCTCTTGATCCAACCCTCCCTGACCAGGACAGGAAGGTTATTCCCTCCAAGAAGAGGGGAGGGAGTCCCCTACTCTCCTAGGGAAGTCCTGGGTCACATTTCCTGGGGCAGTAGAATTCCTAAGAAAGCTATTTCCAATCCTGGTCTTATTCAAGTTATGAAAGATGATGCAAGCCCCGTGAGAGCAGGAATGGGACCCTGGGCAAGTTTGGAAAACAAAGCGAAGGCAGGGGGCTGCGTGAGAATCCTCTCTCTGCTGGCTTTGTAAGCGGTGATAAGCGTGTGACTAGGTCTGGGGCTTTTGGGGGGGGGGCGACATTGACAGAAAGAGGGCTGAGGGAGGGAGGGTCACATGGTCTCTATCATGACTTGGGCCAGCTCAGTCCTTTCGAAAGCTAATCACCTATTTGCTCTTCCCTTCCCTCACTCACTTTACCCTCTCTGCACAGCTCGGAGGCAACCAGCGTGAAGCGGTGACCAGCAGCAAGTGGGAAAGAAAGTCATGGGGGACTCTGGTCCTAAGAGAAGGGTTCGCTCCAGCACCCAGAAGCCCCCCTCCCCACCTCCCGGACATGGGCAGCTGGCTGCATATGTAACGGCAGCCTCCTTCTCCCTGGCTCAGTGTGTGTGTGTGTGTGTGTCTGTGTGTGTGTCTGTGTGTGTCTGTGTGTGTCTGTGTGTGTCTGTGTGTCTGTGTGTCTGTGTGTGCGTGCGTGTGTGTGTGTCTCTGTGTGTCTGGGGTCTGTGTGTGTGTCTGTGTGTGTGCGTGTGTGTGTGCGTGTGTGTGTGTCTGTGTCTGTGTGTCTGTGTGTCTGTGTCTGTGTGTCTGTGTGTGTGCATGTATGCGTGCGTGTGTGTGTCTGTGTGTGTGTCTGTGTGTCTGTGTGTCTGGGGTCTGTGTGCATGTG